TGTAAAACTAATAAAAAAAACAAATAAATAATGGTGATTAGTGTTACATTAAATAAGTGTACTTGATTCAAATTTTGTTTAATATGTGAGCCAAAGCTAGATATGAGGTAGTCTAGATCTGAGGCAGTAACATAGCCAATGCCACTAGTCCAATGAGTGGATATGTTGCCTCCCTAATTTATACTGGCCTGCGTAGGTACCCCATTGCCTGATGGCAAGTGGATTTTATTCAGGGCAACCAATTTTCATGTCCAACTTGCCCTGAGGGCAAGTGGTCAAAAACGTTAAGTTACACCACTGATGCTGTATACAAATTATATACCTGAAAGGTAACTTACATCATATTGTGTCATTTAATTTTTAAATACTAATACTTGTATTCTCACAGTGTATTAATTTAAGATATACAAATGCACTTGTGATGCCCAACGAATTGCCACAAAAAAAACCATAAACCACAAATCAGTCAATTTCAGTAAGTAGGGCACACTGGGGCACATTGCAGCTCAATGGGTTAACCAGAGATATTGTCAGATTTTGGTTAATAACCATAATTGTAAGAGGTCAGTACAGTCTGTAACAATAAGTAATTCAGGAATTTACACAATTCTCAACAGTTAAATGATTATCGGATTTCATGTTAAATGATTATCGGATAATGTTGAGCATCAAGAATATATGTATAATATCCTTCATACATCTATAATAATATTCAGGCTAAATATCATGGTTATTATTTTATGTACAGTACTATAGTTGTATCAGGTATAAAGATACGAGGTGAAGCCAAGTATCTTTAGGTCTGATAAAGCATACACTGCAAATGTTTTAAATTGCTCAACTGATGGTCACCAACAACAAATAGTACTTTATTACAAGGCGGCAAAATGTATTTAAATTAAAAGAGATGAATAATCTTGTCACTTGATACATTTGACACCAGGCCGGTGTCTTGTATTTGTCCATAAGAGACCCCTTGTTATTGTATCATGTTTTGAGAATGAGTTCAATTTTGATATTTGTTGTTGATCTGAGCAAAATATTGATTATTGATTTGCCTACTGAGGCACACAGTATTGAACAGTCAATTGTGGTGAGTGATGCTGAACTGCCTGTTGTATGTTGTGAGTGATTTTGAGCGCCTGTTGTGATGAGTGACACTGAATTGCCCCAATTGTGGCTCAGGAAAAAATGTACCTGAGCTGACTTGTCAAATAATCTCCTTAAATAATGTTCTGGGAAGTAATTTGTGTAATTGATTACAAACAAAAACAAGGGCTTGTTAACAGTATAATGAGGAAATTAATTCCATCTCATTATATTATTCAGCCTTGATAAAGCATATGGAGGCTTTCTGTCTGATTTGACCCTCATGCATGTAATTGTTTGGGAATGCCTTCAGGATCATTAAGATCACAACATTTGTTTTGAAGCTTGGCCTTTGAAATCTAAACCCAAAGCACTATATGTGTGTTCACAATGTTCTTGGGATAAGAATGAAAATCAAATAAAATATTTCAACTCAATTAAATTCAGGAAATGTTAATTTAACCACGGAGGTCACACAGGTTATACTCGGGGCATATGGCTAACATAAGCATTTAAATTCCAAGTGCATACGATGTTGACATTCCTTGTTTTTCAGACATTCTTTGGGTCTTGTACTGACCCTTTAACTGTTAAATATACTGTATGATATTGACATTTGCAAGAAAGATCTACTGTAGCAACAATAACTATTAAATGTTTTGATGATCATGGAGTCCATATTATTAAATTAAAGTGATTTTACATATCTGTTTCACAATCGAGGCAGCAATTTCCTTGCGACAGTATTAAATTCATAGTATAAATGCTTCTATCGATCCATTCGTTTTGCACTGTTGCTTTGTCTATTTAATAGATCTCCTTTACAGTTCAACCAAGGTTCTCAGAGCTAATTTGAAGACAATTTCAAATTTATTCAATATTTTTGGAAGAACTTTAACAGATTTTTTCATTTTAAAATAGATTTTTGTTCTTTATTTGTCGATTTCGGTGGGAACGAGGTTGCCGCGATCGCACCCCCCTGTATTCTATTTGCTCCGATATATCACGTGACAAAATAATCCACAATTTGTGATTATTTCACCAGCCTTTACCAGGGCCTTTGCTGCCCTTCGCCTCCTTTCTTAAAAGGCCCTGGGTACGAGGTTGCTTGTCCCAGGGCTTACGGCAACGCAGGCAGCCGAGAAGCCCTGGGAACGAGAATGCGGTCAAGTCGGTTCGAGTTGATGATATTTCGGAACTGAGTCCAAGCAATTAACTTTTCAGCTTGCCCGGTGTGGATGCACACTCAGAGTAACATCACAAACATATTCACCTGAGTACATAACACCAACACACACAAATATATCTTAGAATACACTGATATCGAAGGAACTAGACTCAGTTCCGAAATATCATCAACTCGAACCGACTTGACCGCGTAGCTCAGTTGGCAGAGCATTGTACTAGTATCCCAAAGGTCGCGGGTTCGATTCCCACCGTGGCCAAGCAATTAACTTTTCAGCTTGCCCGGTGTGGATGCACACTCAGAGTAACATCACAACATCATATACTACATATAAATAATAATCTCCATTGTTCCGTGCTCCTATGTCCACAACCCAGAGTCCACGACCCGCGTTTTCTATTGATATCTTTCGGAAATTGTCGGAGACGAAGATAATCCGACTCTATTCTGGTCATTTCCGATACGAACAACACGGAAAATGCAAACATGGCGGCTTGAAAGAGTGATAAAACAAAAGGTTGACTGAAAAGAATACGGTTTGGGCCTTTGATCTACCAGTGTGTCGTAGTGAAACGATGATAAATTAAAAGAAACTTTTCTCTGAACAGCGTGATATTTGAAATTAGCAGCAGAAAGAAGTTAGAAAAACTATAGGAAGCAATATGATGTCAAGAGATTTTCGACAGGCTGGGCCAGCAATGAATCCTTATCAAGGAATGGCAGGTTTGCATATAAAGTTTTCATGTAACCCAATACTTAAGGAAGATTGATTGTTTTCATGTGTTTATTTGAGATTTTTCTGTATTTCTAGCCAAGTTCAGACAATCTTACCAACCTGCACCCAATTCAATGGTAAAGTTATTATTAAAAAGGGTATTACAAATAGGGGCCACGTCCGTATTCAAAACGTCAAATTGATGTCTTTATATAAACCCACCCAACCTGGAAATGTCAAGCAAGCCATGTACCTAATGGAAAGATTTTTTTAAAAATATTCATTTGTGCCACTGTGAAACTGAAATTAGTGAAAACATCACAGAAAAATAGTTTTGACCCACCTATCCACCAACCCAAAACTCAATTTGATGTTTTTGTATGACAACTTGAGTATGGATGTGGCTCAATTTTGTTCCCAAGGTCAGATGCTAGTGCTGTCCAAACTCTGGTGTTTCAGCTCCCGCTTAATTACAGTTCAAATCTCTGGCTGTGTCCAATTCAATTTCAATTTATTTTCCAAATATGTTACCCTGGTTCCAAGGGTTCTTGTGCCACCGTATTATAAATTACGTAATTTGTACAAAGGAACAGCGAACCTCGGCATGCCACATTGGCATGCGATGCAAATCCCACTTCCTTTGGTACAAAATTTGTACCAGGCAGATGACTGGTTAGTTATAATTAGCAGTCACATGAAGTGATGTGATTGGCTAAACAAAAATACCTGTTTATAAATCTCAGAGAACATGAGATATGAACTCACTGCTTAAAAAGATTTTCTGTGTTGGAGAAGAGCTGCCATCGCGGCATGACTTCAGTTGACATGTTTACATGGGCATGACATGTTCACTCTATTAATTTGTAAAATATAAAGTGTTGCTTAATTAGTTAGTACTATGTGACAAGCAAGTATGATCGGTCAAGGTTGTAACTTGGAAGTTCTCTGAAGATTTAATGACTTATTGCAATTTGGCCATTTGCAATAGCCGGAAATGGTTTTACACAACAGATATGACTTCAGATTTTTTGTACTTTCAACAGATTCAATGTTGCCATTATTTATAACCAATGATAGTTCTTCGAAATTGTCGCAATTCCTGTCATACTGACTTTCCAGCCAGAGCTGGAACTATGGCTCTGGCTGACCAAAAACCCAATATTGCAGCTAGCACATAGGTGGCACCATTTCAGTGATGTTAATCACAGCTCTCTCAAATTATCAAAAGCATCATAAACCAATGAGGTGCATTGTTTTGTTTCGATCATACATCAGGGTTGGTAAGTTTCTGAATAAATTAGCCAAATATTATTATCATAACCTTTGTTTCCTTTGTTCAAAACAAAGACATCAAAGGGCCGTTTATAACAATGTTTGGCTTATTTATTTAGCAACCTACCAACCCTGTCATACATCACAACATCAATGAAGCAGCATTAAATGTAGATAGATTCTATGTTTACAAAAGTTGATCATTAGCTATAATTAAACATTTTTTTTAAAGGGCCAGTGGGGAGGCACGGCAAGCATGAACCAAAATATGTTTGGACTAACTCAACAACGATTCCTCTCACAAAGACCTTTCCTAGTGAGTATGGTATTGGGAATTTTAGTTTAGTTAGCCACTTTAGCAATGAGATTGGAAAAAATGATATTTTAATTCAAATCCACTTAAATAATTTTGTTCAGAAATTATGTTCTCATCACAGGTATGTGTGCAACATTTTCCAAATAATTCAAATAATAAGTTATACAAGGGTAGAGAGAGAGATGGTGCAGTTTACAGTATATAAATTGCGTTAAATCAGCAGCAGCGTTACCTTTCATCCCCTGTGTTTTTTTACTCTGAACATTATGGAGCATATGGTAGTGCAAAATGCGTACTAAATTTGTAACTATAATTATTATTATTTTCTAAATCTCATTCTGTGTTATAGAGTAAACCTAAAAAAACCCTGAAAAATTATTTTTTGTTATATTTTCAAAAATGCAAATTATCTTTGAGTACCATGCTGCATTAAGCCACAATGTGACCCCAGTATGCCCCACTACTCTACTTTGTTACATATTTTACTGTTATTTTGTCTCATACCAGACGATCAAGGTTTTGCACCTTAAGAGGTTAAAAAACTCCCAGTATATTGTTAACTCATTGTGCCAGAATGAATGTGCCGTACTTTGTGTTTACTCTGTTTGTTGCATACAATTTTGTTCATGAAGAAGAGGGAGTTAAATGGGTTAATAATCAGGAACGGACTGTTCCAGCATACTGTAGGTAGTGACAATAACACCAGAAACCTGTGGATTGAGAGGGACTACAGTAGTACCTGTATGTACAAGTTAGCTAATACTGCCTCTATGGACACTGTCCTCCTTTACTATACAGTATTCATTATATTTAGCCAATTGACTGCATCAGCCTTGAGTTAATAAGTTGATGAACATTTTAACTGTTTTTTTAGCCTACTGACTTTCAAAATACACCAGCACCCAAAGCACCTGACAAGCCTCTGATGCCTTACATGAGATTCAGTAGAAAGGTAGGTTGTTACACTTAAATTTCAAAATGAAAATGCAATTATTTTACCACATAGGGAGGATGGATGCAGTTAGGACAATGCCTCTTACTACTGAGTTATATGCTTGAGTAGGTTGAGTGCTTGGTTTGTAACTTCTCTCTATGTACTTAAAAACACATATTCTGTACTGTCAGTAAAGATTGATTGGTTCTCAGCTGTATCATGAGAACCAGGATCAGGTCTTTAAAACCAGCACTTGTGGTGGCGTGGTCACCACGCAAGCTTGCCTTTCAAGCTGGGAGAACCGGGTTCAATACTTGGTTGGACCTCTACTCAAGGTGTTAGAATAATTGAGGAGAAAGTGCTGCCTTTACATTGAGATCAGTAAATGGTTAGATTTTCGCGTCCTCTCGGATAAAGACGTAAAATCGTAGGTACCTCAGATCCCCGATCAATTGAGCAATAGCTTGTTGGGAACTCCAATGAGTGAGAAACTCAATAAACTAAGGGGAATTGGGCAACCACAACCAATGTAATCAACATTAAGTAATGATGAAATCATGCACAGGTTTGGGAACAGGTCAAGAACCAGAACCCTGAAGGCAAGTTGTGGGACATTGGTAAAATTATTGGTCAAATGTGGCGGGACCTTCCAGATGAGGAACGGCAGGTGTGTATACGTTAGTACAGTATGTACAATTTTACAATCAATTACACATGTGATCTTTTTTCTTGCCTTTTTTGTAAAGTAAATCCCCACTGTTAAAAAACCACCTTGTTTATACAGGTATGTCTAAGACCTTGCAAAATACCAACTAGTGACCTGTAGTTAGACCATTTACACAGTCACATGTTTACTGTATGCCCTGTTCTTGATTGGGATTCAACTTTATGTAAGGCCCATTTACACTGTACTGCGATTTTAGGTGCGATTTCTGCTTCTGATGGATGTGAACGTGTGGATGAGTTATGAATGTTCAGATAAGGGTACATCAGTTGGACATATACTCAACCTCGTTCCCAGTCTCTTTGCTCTTGTGAAGCAAAGACCCTGGTCGGGGCTGGTCACGTGACCCCGCAGTTTCTGCGTGGTAAATTGAATTGATCTCAGGGAGGGGTGGTAGAGGAGTCTGTTTGTTACGTTTGGAAAATTTCAATTTTATGTGTTATAGTTTCGGGTAATAAAAATGTAATTTGCAACAAGAAATCGTGAAAGGAACAGTTTT